CTAACAACAGCCAGCCTGGCCTGTGGTACTCAGATGCTGGGCCCATGTCAGACCAGACACATAGGATCACCCAGGAAGCTTCTCAGCAGAGATTCCTGGGCAATACTCAGGTCCTGTCTAATTTAGATGGTTTGGGTTTAGGGTAGTGTGGTAGGCAGAATAATGGCCCCCCAAAGATGTCCATGTTCTAATCCTTGGAACCTTGGAATATATTACCTAATGTGGCAAAGGGGAATTAAAGTTGCAGATGGAATTAAGGTTGTTAATCAGCCAGGGCCAGGTCATCTCATCCCCATTCAGCTGGGGTCTTGTCAGCTATGCCCCATTTAATCAGGGTCAGCTCATCCCTAGGCCCTGTGGGCTAGGTCAACAGATACCAGCCATAGGATCAGCAATCCACAGGACTGCCAGCACTTCAGATCAGCCAGCCCCTTCTCTCATCATTAGCCACGTGGGGCTAGGTCAGTGGGTGCCAAAGAAACACATCCAAACTCAGCCCATCTCTTGCACCTTCCTCACTTCCACTTATCTCATGGACCCAGGTGGTCACCTCAAGCAAGCATACCAGCCTGGCTATCTACTCGCTGGCTCCCCTTAACTTCCAGTCCTGGAAGGGGGTTCTTCTGATGGACACTGACATTTCCTGCCTCAGTGCATCCAGCAGTTTGCCCACAGTTCAAAAAGCAAAACTAATCTTTTTTTTTTTTTTGCTTCTCCCAGCAGTTCTGGGTGGATCTGCATGTCTTTCAAATGCAAATTTTCTGCTCTTGAGTTTCTGGGTAGGGCTCAGGTGTTCCACCTAAGTCCCTTATACTCTATACACAGGGCTATTGTATTGAAATGAAACCTGTGTTTCTTTTGGGCAAATCTTAGTTCCCCTTTTAGCATATCCAATCAAGTACTGGCTGAAAGTAGAGTTACACGCTCTTTATTTTTTACAATACCCAGTATTCATTTCAGAGCCCTGGTGGCATAGTGTTTGAGAACTTGGCTGCTAAACAAAAGGTCAGCAGTTTGAATCCACCAGCTGCTCCTTGGAAACCTTATGGAGGCAGTTCTGCTCTGTCCTTACAGGGTCTCTATGAGTCGGAATTGACTCGAAAACAATGGGTTAATAATATTCATTTCAATCACACATTTAGGTCTGTTTACACCAGATAGGATAAACATAGTACATTCAGATAAACACATAAATCTTCTTTAACATTCCAGTTTCATCTTCACCCCCTGACTAATTTCCCATTCATATGCATATGGCCTTGGGCTTCTGGCTGGGTGGAACCAGAAGATGCTGGCCCTCTGTCAATCATCTTGCTTAACCTGCTGGGCTTTCACCCCAAGCCCCTTCAGATGTGGCTTTCCTCTCCTCAGTTTCCCTATCTGCTGCTCCAGCATAACATCCCTTATTTTTAGCTATTAAAGATAACCGAAGTAACCATGCAAGAATCAAAAGTTTTACTCCACACACCCTTTTATCCTTTCTCTTCCAAAATCGCATGCTTCCATGAGTCAAGAGCCATTGCCACGAATCCCACTTCTGACACCAATTGTAATGCAGTAGCAGTAGTGTCAAACCTCGTCTAATTTCAGAGAGAATGAGAATCAGCATCAGCCCAAAGCTGATTCCTATGAGGTGATGGTCTGACACACCTCCACTCTCCAACCTTTTTTGCCAATTGACATCAGCCATCCTCCCCATGACAGTCTCTACTTCTCTGATAGGTTCAGTAATTCATTGCAATGGCCACACGCAACTCACAGACCATACTCACAGTTATATGGTTTATTGGTAAAGTAATATGGGATCAGGATCAACTTGGAAATAACAGGAATAACTCAGGGTAGAGTTCTTTGATTAGGACAGCTTTTTCTTGGCTGCTGCCACCAGGCCCTCACCCTTGGCCTGGGCCCTGCACACGCAGGCCTGGCCTCTACCTCCGCTTGGGCCTACCTTTGCCTCGCCTGGCCTCTGCCCCTGCTTATGCAAGTGTACAGCTTTTTAGCACCACCAACAAGTGCCTGGCAGCACCCCAGTCTGCCAGCAAGCTTTCTGCCCAAAGGCTCTCAGCTCTCACTCTGTGGGCTGGCAAGTCCCTTTAGCTCCACTGACAAATGCCGAAGGCACCCCACTCCACCAGCAAGGCTCCTTTCCAAAGGTGCTCAGCTCTCTTGCTCCATGGCTCGCAAACCCACTGTAGCCATTGCCAGGGTCTTCTGCCCAGTCTGGGCAGCCACTATGAGGTTCTTGCCTTCTATTGACCAAGAATTACCAGGAGAGGCTCAAGTTTTCTGCACAAAGATTTATTGAGCAAATGCAGCTCACAAGCGGAGACAAAGAGGGACAATGCAATGCTAGCCTTTGTCTCCCCGAAGAAAGGATTGGCTAGGGCTTATAAAGGTTTTTAGGCGGGAAAAGTTTTCATCTTTATTCATGAAAGAGGTGGGGTTATGAAGATTAGATGCACATGCAAGATGGAACCTGTAACAAAGGCTCCTGGGACTGGATAGCAGGACATACTATGGGGTGCTGCACCTGCGCAGTCCCCGCATGGTGCCGGCTCGATTCCTGTTGTGGGTCTGTCAGTCACCTTGTGGATGTCTGCGTATGCTCCAGGGATCAGATCGGGCCAGTTCTTCTGAAAAACATCAAGGAAGTACATTGAGAGCTGGGTGGGTTGTTCTTTCTTTATTGCATGTTACAAGATAATGGGTTTTGTGTCATTAGTTAACCACATGTTTTTAGTTCAGTGTTCTTTGTCTAGGGGCTCAGTCCCTTTTTCCATTCCCTGTCTCATAGCCATCTTGTTCTGTGGGCCAGGAAGCCCACCATGCTGTCTTATGCTGGTCTCCTGGTTCTACTGCTGCCCCACCAGTATTACAGTTCTGTCTCCTGGGTCTAGGAGGTTCTCAGTGCAGGGACCCCAAGTCCAAAGGATGTACTCTGCTCCAGGCTCTTCTTGATGGTAGTGCGGTCCCCTTCAACCTCTGTGGGATGGGTGCTTATATAGGCAAGTGGTTCAATCCTATTGGGTGGATTTTATGTATGCTATTTGCATAATAACCAAATCCTCACTGGACTAAACTGACCAATCTCCTTGCAAGTGGCTCCATCTATTTGCATAATAACTGACATTTTATACTGGCAGGGACTGGCATCTTCCTTGGGTAACTGTAACAACTCCTCAGGGCCGAAGGGAAAAATCTCCCAAACTGTTTTCTTTTTCTCTGTTTTTCACAGAACCAAGGCAAAAGGCCACATAAAGAAACGCATTTTACCACAGTTGGAGTGATACAGTGTGGGAAGGACTCAACCCACTATCGCTAGCCTTGAAGATGGAGAAAGGGGGCCATGAGCCAAAGGCAGCCTCTGGTAGCTGGAAAAGGCAAGGAAGTAGATTCTTCCCTAAACAACAACAACAAACCCGTTGCCGCTGAGTCAATTCTGACTCCTAGGGACCCTACAGGACAGAGTAGAACTGCCCCATAGGTTTTCCAAGGAGTGGCTAGTGGATTTGAAGTGCTGACCTTTTGGTTAGCAGCCAGGCTGTTAACCACTGCACCACCAGGGCTCCTGTAAATCAGAAATCAGGCATGGGTCTCACTGAGGTAAAATAAAGGTGTTGGTAAGGCTGCATTCCTTTTTGGAAGATCTAGGGAAGAATCCCTTTTTTGGAGGCTCCGAGCCATGGAGCAAGATAGCTGAGCACCTTTGGAAAGGAGGCTTAGTGGTAGAGTGGGGTGCCTTGGGCACTCGTCAGTGGAGCTAAAGGGGCTTGCTAACCCATGGAACAGGAGAGCTGAGGGCCTTTGAGCAGAAGGCTTGGTGGCCGACCATTAATTCTACTTACATGAAAACAAATACATAATCATTAATGTTTAGAATGTCCATTTGTGTACTACCTAAAAACAGGCTTACTTAAACCACATGGGTGAGTCCTACACCCTCCCTCCTACTATTATTTATTTGGAGATATCTATCTAGTGGAAGAAAGACCTGACATCTACTTCCAAAAGTCAGCCAAGGAAAACCCTATGGCTCACCACAGTCCAATCTACGACCCATCATGGGCATGGCTCAGGACTGGGTATGATGTTCATGAAAACGTTAAGTATGCAATTGTGTGGACAAACTTGGGGGAGTTGCTTGACCCACGTGGGGGGTGAAGGCACACACTGTAAGGGAGTAATACTCCCGTTTTCACATATTCCAGACTTCTGTGGAGGGCCAACAGCTCACCTTCACCCGAAATCCTAAACCTAACTAAGCGACCAAATCCGTTTTGGAAGAAGTATCCACCAGAATGCGCCTTAGAAGTAAAGATGGTAAGACTTCGTCTCACGTACTTTGGACATGGTATCAGGAGGGACCAGTCTCTGGAGGACATCATGCTTGGTAAAGTGGAGGGTCAGCGAAAAACAGGAAGGCTCTCAATGAGATGGATTGACACAGTGGCTGCAACAGTGGGCTCAAACAGCAACGACTGTGAGGATGGCACAGGACTGGGCAGTTTCAATCTGTTGTGCCTTGGGTCGCTGAGTCGGAACGACTCAAAGGCACCTAACAACAACAAGAAGCAAGCGAAGTAGGTCCTGCAAACCTTTTCCGTTATGAACTGAGAGTTCCTTCTCCTAGGGCAGGTAAGGTATCAGGAAATGTCACTGCTCTTGGGAGAGAACGGAGAAGGTCAGGATGACGAAAGGAGGCAGTGTCAAGCAATGGAAGAGGAGACGCCCCCAGGGCCTTTGCCGCCAAAGTTCTGAGTCGAGCCCCCGTCCCGCCTCCCCACCCTCGGGGCGGAAGCAGTCGCTGCGATCTCTCGGAGACCCTGGGCCCCGGTCGCCACGGAAACCCCCGGGGCCGGAGCCGAAGACCGGAAACTCAAGTTCTAGCCCTTTAATGAGTTACTCCTCCTCCGAGGGTGATTGGTTGTTACTTTGACCGGCCCGTGCATTCTTCCAGCTCTTCCTGCCGCGCGTGCGCGTTGGCACTACTGAAAAGCATGGCGGACCAAATGTTGGGGTTTGAGCACATGGGCCTAGACCCCCGGCTCCTGCAGGTACGGGTAGAAGGCTGAGGAGCCAGGTTCACGGGCTTCCTGGGAGCAGAGACTTTGGTTTGGCAGGGAGGGATGTCCTCGGAGCCCGTCACCGCCCTCCGCGTTACCTGAGCGGCTTGTCTCCTCGTCTTTCCTAGGCCATCACGGACCTGGGCTGGTCGCGACCTACACTGATCCAGGAAAAGGCCATCCCCCTGGCCCTGGAGGGGAAGGACCTCCTGGCTCGAGCTCGCACGGGTTCAGGAAAGACGGCTGCTTATGCTATTCCGATGCTGCAGCTGCTGCTCCACAGGAAGGCGGTGGGTAACGGGAAGGACTGAGGGAAGGAAGGAGGCCGTAAAGGGCTGGTAAGGGAGATCAGGAGTCTTTACCCGTTTGTGCTTTCTTGGAAAACCATGTCGCCCCTTTCCTCCCACTGTGCTACAGCCGTCTTTTCCAAGAGCGGCGATTTCTCTTGCTACCTTACTCTTGAAGGTTGGCCTGAGAGAAACTTGGGAGAGATGTGCTGTTGCTGAAAACGCTCTGGGCTGAAATTCAGGTTACCTGGGTTCTAGTCCAGCCCTGCTACCACCATTCTTTGTGTAGTCTTGAGGAAATTACTCTCTTTCTATGCTTGTTTTCTTTATTTTATAAAAAGGAGGCATGTCTCCCCTTTTTACTTCTTAGAATTATTGGGAGGTTCCAGCTCCATAACTGGTATATTTTAAGTATCCTCATAACCACAGAATAAACCAGAAAAACACAACCAAACCCGTTGACGTCAAGTCGATTCCAACTCATAGCAACGCTATAGGACAGAGTAGAACTGCCCCATAGAGTTTCCAAGGAGCTCCTGGTGGATTCGAACTGCCAACTTTTTGGTTAGCAGCCATAGCACTTAACCCCTGTGCCACCAGGGTTTCCAACCACAGACAAACCTACTATTTTTAAGGGTCAGTGTCTGGGGAAAGACCCATTTGCTCTACGTTCTCTGTGAGGGATTGATCAGAACACAGCTAAGTTGTATTGAAGTGGGTGGCTCAGGTTGCTTGTAAGAAGTAGAGAGAAGCATCAGGTGACCACAGTGACATGAACCAGCTGGCGAAAGTCTTTAATTCATCTTCTTACAGACAGGCCCTGTGGTAGAACAGGCTGTGAGAGGCCTTGTCCTCGTGCCCACCAAGGAACTGGCAAAGCAGGCACAGTCCATGATTCAGCAGCTGGCGACCTACTGTGCTCGGGACATCCGGGTGGCTGATGTCTCAGCTGCTGAACACTCGGCCTCTCAGAGGTGGGTAAAAGCAGCAGGGCTACACCAAGAGGTGGAGCTGGGTTTGTGTGCAGCGAGAAAGAGGGCTGGCCCTGGCTGAGGTTACAACAGCTGCATCCCTTAGCACTGTTATTCCCTGATAATAAAGTCTTGCCTATTTTTAGAGCTGTGCTGATAGAGAAGCCAGATGTAGTGGTGGGGACCCCATCCCGCATATTAAGCCACCTGCAGCAAGACAACTTGAAACTGCATGACTCCCTGGAGCTGCTGGTAATGGACGAGGCTGACCTTCTTTTTTCCTTTGGCTTTGAGGAAGAACTCAAGAGTCTTCTCTGGTAAGGAGAGCTGTCTCTGTGGAAGAATTTATGAATAGAGATTCGGGCAGCTGGCTGAAAGTTTATAAACGCCACCACAATTGATGGCCCTGGGGCTGGGGTCTGACTGGACTCTGCTCTGTTTCAGTCACTTGCCCCGGATTTACCAGGCTTTTCTTATGTCGGCAACTTTCAATGAGGACGTACAAGCACTCAAGGAGCTGGTACTACATAACCCGGTAAGAGATACTACTGGAGTGTTTGGAGCTGTAGATGTGGTACTTAATGTTCCCCTCTCAAAGGAGCCCTGTTGGTGTTTGGGTGGGAAATTGTCAGTGGGGGTAGCTAAAAGCCAGCAGTACCCCACCCCCTAAAGTCATCTGATACCACTGCATCCTACTTCCGGATGTCCCCTGGGGTCTCTCTCTCCCAGTTCAAGCTATGGTTTTCCTAAAAGTCTGAACAGGGATTCCCCAAGGGGCAGAAGGACTGCTTTGGGCAGCAAAGCCAAAAATCTAAGGCCAAGGCTATCACCTGATGAGAATTTTACCCTTCAGTGTTGTTGCTTCCTTGTCAATATAATCATTTATTGATGTGCTTTTCTTTGTTTTGGAGCTCTGGTGGTGCAGTGGTTAAGAGTTCATCTGCCAACCAAAAGGTCAGCAGTTTAAATCCACCAGTCGCTCCTTGGAAACCCTGTGAGGTAGTTCTACTCTGTTCTATAGTGTCTCTGTGAGTCGGAATCGACTCAACAGCAACAGATTTTCTCTTTGTTTCATGCCTCAAATAATTAACGTAGTTTTATATACTGTATACCACAATATGGAGTTCCTGGGTGGCACAAATGGTTAAGCACTCAACTGCTAGCCAAAAGGTTGACAATTTGAACTCACCCAGAGGCACCTTGGAAGACAGGCCTGGTAATCTGCTTCCGAAAGGTCACGGCCTTGAAAACCCTGTGAAGCAGTTCTGCTCTGCACACATGGGTCACCATGAGTCAGAATCGACTCAATGGCAGCTCACAACAACGCACTGCAAGAGTTGGGACACTTGGACTTCGTAGATGACAGAGTGGGCAGGGAACTTAGGGTAGCCACCATCATTAAAGCCATCTCTGCCCTGAAATGTTTACGCTTTGTTGGAGAGCCAGTGGCTTGCAGCAGGATTTCTGTCTTCTCTTTCCTTCCTGACCCCAGGCCTGCCCTCTTCCTAGGTTACCCTCAAGTTACAGGAGTCCCAGCTGCCAGGGCCAGACCAGCTTCAGCAGTTTCAGGTGGTCTGTGAGACTGAGGAAGACAAGTTTCTGCTGCTGTATGCCCTGCTCAAGCTGTCGTTGATCCGGGGCAAGTCCTTGCTGTTTGTCAACACTCTGGAGCGGAGTTACCGACTCCGCCTTTTCCTGGAGCAGTTCAGCATCCCTGTCTGTGTGCTCAACGGGGAACTCCCCCTACGCTCCAGGTTTGCCGCTTCCACTGTCTTAGTTGACATAAGTCAAAGACAAGAGGGCCAAAAGGGGAGATGCAGCTGCTGTCTTGTTTCTTAATCCCTGAGTGGGGCCAGGCACTGAACTTGATATGCATTGACTGACCTCTCACAGCCCTGACTACAGGTGTAGGGTGTTGAGGCATAGACGTTAAGTTGGGAAGGGGTGAAGAGGAGGAAAAGGAGTAAAGGGTGGTGGTCCTGATGGTGCTGTGAGGGAGATGTGGGGCTTCCTTTTGCCTCCTGTGTTTTGTGGAACTTACCCCTCCACTCTCGGCCGCAGGTGTCACATCATCTCACAGTTCAACCAGGGCTTCTATGACTGTGTCATAGCAACTGACGCTGAAGTCCTGGGGGCCCCTGTCAAGGGCAGACGTCGGGGCAGAGGAGCCAAAGGAGACAGGTGACACCACATCTCGTATTCTTCCAGCCCACCCCTGCTTGTCAGTTCTTGGGAAGGACAGGAAGCCAGAGGCTCCGGGCCAGGCTGGATGCCTGGCCAGTGTAGGGAAGGGGGCAAGGGCGCATACCATGCCTACTCTGGGCAGCACAAAGGTCAAGACTGCCTGTGCCTGGTTACTGGCTTGCGCTGTCCTGTGAGGGAGGACGTGCCTGGCCTGCACTGGGCTGGGGTTATGACTTGAGGGGCAGGTCTTCACTTGGGACAACCACTGATAGGCTAGGAAAAGGGAAGTTTCCTTTTGTCTGCCCCAAGGGTCCACTGGCCCAGGGCAAGTGTGTAGTTCTATCACATCGCCCCAGGCCTGAAGTCAGGTTAAGGGTTTGCCAAACTGGAGAGTGCCAGGCTGCCTTACCCTACCCCTACTCCTGGAGCAGTTCTGGTTTTAACGGTCTCATGTATGTTAGGGTGTTGTGGTTCTACACGCAAGTCTGTTTAAAGAGGTAATTTTGCTGACCTTCGCTTGCACAGAGAAGAAGGGGGCAGGCTGATGTCGGGTTGTCTCCACAGGGCTTCTGATCCTGAGGCTGGCGTGGCCCGGGGCATAGACTTCCACCACGTGTCTGCTGTGCTCAACTTCGATCTTCCACCCACCCCGGAGGCCTACATCCACCGAGCTGGCAGGTATGGCCGCGGGTGCAGGTCAGGCATGCTAGAGGCCTTGACTTGGGTGGACCAGAGCCTGGTGTGGGAGATGCAGGCAGCTCATCTCCCCTTGCAGGACAGCACGTGCTGACAACCCAGGTGTGGTCTTGACCTTCATGCTGCCTACAGAGCAGGCCCACCTGGGCGAGATCGAGGAGCTTCTCAGTGGAGGTAAGAGCCCCGCTCCCCTGGGCATGGGCTAGGGCCAGGCCTCTGCCACCAAGCTGTAAGAGCACCAGCGCATCCTGGACTGCATTGGGCGGTAGTGAGGATGGTACTAAGAACTGCAGTGACAGTTGTGGTGACAAAGAACAGCTACTGGCACGTACTGAGCACTACCTGTGTGCCAGCCCCCATGGTCAGTGTGTGACACGCATGGCCATGTGGGCTCCTCACCCTGCCCTGTGCCCGTTTTGTAGGTGAGAAAACCAAGCTTCACAGTGGTCAGATAACTTGTTCAAAGTCACATGTACACATCTGCCTCACAGGGCAGGAAGCCAGGGGTGGGGTTTAAAATCGGGGGCGGTCAGAAGAGGGTGGCAGGTGTCTAAGGAGGCGGCCCTGGGAGAGGACTGGAAAGTGGAGGTGGGCAGAGGGGAGGAGCTGTGCAGCACACGGCGCTCAGCTCCTCTGAGCCGGAGCTGGCCCAGGCGCAGCGCCCTCCTGCCTTCACGGAGCACACCTTCCAGGGGGTGGGGGACAGTCCAGTGGCAACCAGTACCACGGAGGAGGGGGCTGCCGACTGATGTGGGGTGTGGGGGTCTCATGCCTGGTGTGAGTTCTGGGGTCGGGCCCCTTCCCTCCCTCCAGGGGAGGTGGATGCCAGGGAAGGGCACTGCTCACCTAGAGGGCATGGAGCCTATGGGCACTGCATGGAGGCTGGGGCCCAGGGGACACCATTTGCTGAGACCAGTGGGTGTGGCTGGGACCAGTTGAGGAAGCAAGGGGGAGACATTGGGAAGGATTTGTCTGCCTTTATTTCTGTACCTGAAAAGTAAAGGCAGTAACAGCGCCTGCGTCGTTGGTTTGCTGTGACCGGGACGTGACCCTATGCAGCATGGTGCTCAGCACCTGACCCTGCGAGCACTGCCTTCGTGTTTGGCACTACCTGTAGTGTTCTGGGCACCGGAGAGCAGCTGCACAGGGGGAGGTCAGGGGCCCCGGGGTCAAGGAGCACAGGTAACCCTCATAGACACGATCATGGGCCGGGAGCAAGGCTGCCTGTGGGCCCAGAGCAGGGCCCAGGGTGCAGCAGGGCTCACGCCAACAGCCTCTTGGGAGAGAGACCCTGTCCTGAGCCTTCAGCCCTGGGGACCTCTGCTGCCTTGTCCACAGAGAATGGAGCCCCTGTCCTGCTTCCCTACCAGTTCCGGATGGAGGAGATTGAAGGTTTCCGCTACCGCTGCAGGGTGAGCAGGACATGTGGGTGAGTGGGCCTGGTGGTGGGCAACAAGGGCCCAGGGATGGTGCCATTTGTTGTGGAGTATCCAGGGATGAGGGATATTGAGCAGCTGCACTGTGCTGATGGCCACGTCTGCCTCCAGGATGCCATGCGCTCGGTGACCAAACAAGCCATACGAGAGGCGAGGCTGAAGGAGGTGAAAGAGGAGCTGCTGCGCTCAGAGAAGCTCAAGGTGAGGGCTGGGCTGGGCCTGGAAAGTGTGATCTCGGAGACCAACCCGCTGGGCTCAAGCTGGGAGCAGGCAAGAGCCAGCAGTGTGCTGTGGCCTCTGGCAGGCCAGAGAGGAAGCTGCTGAGGGCACTGCGAGGAGCCAGGAGAACTCTTGGGACAGTCAGTCCACCAAAATGACAAAGTCACGTGGCCTTTGATCCAGAAACTCTACTTGGGGAGTTGATCCGCCACACATCCTCTTGACGGCAAAGCCGTGTCCGTGGTGGCATTCATCGCAGTGTTATCATCATACCAGTGTCTGCAGCCTGAGAGTCCAGGAGTTTAGGGGCTCGTTCAGTAAATTATGGAACATCATACAGCTAGATGTTCCTAGACGCGGAAGAGACCCAGAAGGCTGCTTGGGTGTTAAGGAGTAATTTCTAAGACGTTAAGTGAAAAAGCAAAGTGCTGAAAAGCAAGGGTATGACGTGCTGCTGTTTGTGTTATAATAAGGGTCGCGTACACGTATAATGCATGTGTTTGTACACGTGTATATATAGCCTCAGAAGGAAACAGAAATAGTTGCTTCTGGGAGGGGAACTGGCTGACCAGGGAACAAAGAGGGTAGGGCAACTTTTCACAGTATGCACTTTTGTGCCTGTTGTATTTTGAAATACGTACTATATTATCCACTCAAACTAAATCAATTAAATTTATGAAGAATGACGGTGACCCCATAGCAATCCCTTCTCTTCCATGTCAGACATACTTTGAAGACAACCCCCGGGACCTACAGCTGCTGCGGCATGACCTGCCCCTGCATCCTGCAGTGGTGAAGCCTCACCTGGGCAACGTCCCTGACTACTTGGGTGAGTGCAGACCTGGGCAGGTTGAGAGGTGGGGAAGAGGCAGGCAGACAGAGCCTGGGGAGTCTGGGGGCATGTGCCAGGCCCTGTGCTTGTGCTTGGGCACTGAGGATGCCACCATATGTGTGCCCACTCATTTAGACTGGCCTCAGCAGTCCCAGAGGTAGGTGCTGCTGTCTCCACTCTGGTAACAGGAAGGCTGTTCCACTGCAGAGGGACCCTGTCCCAGGAAAGGAGAGCCGGGAGGGACGCTCAGGCAGGCTCACTGCAAAGCTTGACCATGGAAGAGTAAGCGAGTGGCCGGCTGCTAGAAGCATGAGCACGAGCGGGGAGAGGGTGGCCAGTGGTGGAGAGCAGAGCCACTGCCGTGGGAGGAGACTCAGGACTGGGGCCACCGAGGTCGAGGTGGGGGTGGCTGTGGCAGCTCTAGGTAGGAACGTCCAGCAGGGAGGTAGGCCTGTGGGCCGCAGTGAAGAAGGTAGGAACAGGAGCCAGTCACGGGACAGAGGGCTGTAGCAGGAGGGAGCTGCTGGAGCCTTGGGGAGAGTGCCTCCAAGGGCCAAAGGCAGGAGGAGTGGGTGGCAGTGACAGGGCATGCCAGGGATATGGAATGGCCCCGGGTTTGGCCATTAGGAGCTCAGGGCAAATCTCTAGAGGTTTCTGTGGTTCAACAAGGCCAAAGCCTGACCCCCAGGGTCCAGGAACCTGGCTCTTTATGCGCGTCATTGTTAAACAATGTGAGTCCAACTCTGACGTTGGTTCTTTTTTCAGATTCCATGTTTGATATTACGGTAATGAGCGTGTGTCACTTTTAGGATAAAAATGCTCATTGAAGTAATGAGAAGAGCAGTGAGGGGATGGGGCAGCACCACCATGGGTCTGGCTTGCGTGGCCGCGAGAGCCACACAGGTAGTGGTGCTGCCCCCGCAGGGGGCAGGCAGGGCAGAGCAGGGGCCAGAGATGGGCCAGACAGGGCCAGAAAGGCCCAAGCCAGTTTGAAGGGAAGGGCCCAGAAGAGAAGATAGAATGAAAATGCTAGGGAAAGAGAGAGGCTGCCAGCTAGGGGTCATAGTCTACCATGGAGGAGGGATGTCTGCTTCAGAAGGGAGGGGACAGAGTGCAGAGGTGAGACAGGCAGACACTGAGGCAGAGGAGAGGAGGGAGCTTTGCCCTGAGGAACTCTGTCATTTTCTCTCATTTCTGTGTCATTTTCTTGGCTGGGAGGCTTGGGGAGGCTGAGGCCCCCCGGAAAGGCCTGGTGATGGGTACTGAAGGGCAGGTCTGGCTGCCCAGCACGGGTGAGACAGAGCACAGGTGGGTTTAGTGAGGGGACTGAGGTGAGGCTGGCCTGTGAAGTCGGTGAAGGTTGGACCGGGGTCGGGGAGAAGACTTGGAGGAGAGGGGAAGGAAGGCCACTGGTTTGGGGCATGGAGAGTTTGTAGTAACGGGCCATGTAGGAATAAATCTATTTTAACGGCATTTTCTTTAAGAAATAAAACCTTTATTTTTCCTTTTCCTGTTCCATGTCTATTGCAACACATTTAAACACTAGGGAGATGTGATTTAGATGGTGGCAGTCCCTACAGCCCTATCCCTCTGTTAAGCGGCCGTGTGCACTTCTCTGGCCCCACACATGTAAGGGGGGTACTGTTCAACTGTAGGCGTGTGAAGCGTCTTCTATGACAGACCGAGGTCAGCTCTGAGAAAGAGGTTTGGGGATAATGCTTGCTGAACGGCGGTGAGCTCCCTGAGAAGTGGGGCTATGCAGATAGAGAAGCTGGAGGCTGGCTGGGATGGTGGAGAGGAGCAAGCTAGTGGAGGGACAGAGAGGCTTTCGGTGGGGCCATCTGGGAGGGGACACTGAGGGTGCTAGGCCCTGCTGAGCATCTGCAATCTTTCCCCAGTCCCTCCTACTCTTCGTGGAGTTGTCCGCCCTCATAAGAAGCGGAAGAAGGCTTCCTTCTCCTCCCGGAAGGTCAAGGTACCTGCATCCCGCCCTGGGTTTTGGCAGGGGCAGCTGCAGTGCGTTTCTTCTCCCCATTCCTGGATGCTGCTGGGATGGCGGGCATAACAGGGCCTTGCCTTTGGGGGCAGGAGGGATGGCCCCTTCACCCTTGCCAGGGAGGCCCCAAGAATTGCCCCAAAAGTCCCAGCAGCTGGATGGGAATTAGCTGGGCTGGTAACACTCCTGTCCCTGCCCCCAGGCAGATGTCAGGAACAAAAGAAAAGCTGCTTTTCTGTCCCTAGTTTGCCTTTCCTCCCATGGTCTCCACTGGAGAACAGGGGTAGGGGTGGGGATTGGGGTGGTGTTGTTTACCAGGAAGAACAATAGAGCAAGGAGGGGGCAGGGCCCAGGCTAGGGTGAGGGGGGAATGCACCAGAGAACGGAGGGTTGCTCTGCCCTTGTCAGGGTTTGACACAGCTGCAGAGGGGCCGTGGGAGGTGGCAGCCCTGATTTTCTTGGTGTCTGTCTCAGCTATGGTCAGACCCCCAACTAACCCACAGCTTTGCCCCGTCACAGAAGGGGAAGACCCAGAACCCACTGCGCAGCTTCAAGCACCGAGGGCAGAAGCCCAGATCTGCAACAAAGTCCTGAACTCATCCAGCCCAGCCCCTGGGTGGCCTGGACCCCTCACTGTCTCCTGAGCCCACACTGGGCGGAGCAGCAGCAGACTGTGTCCCCTGGGGCAGGCACAGTAGTGGCCCACAGTGCCACAAGCAAGCCCGGTTTGGCGTTTTGCCCCTTAGAAGAATAAAGGTTCTAGCTGCTCCTTTGTGCCTTCGGCATGCGGGAAGGGACTGTCCCCTGAAACCTTGGGAGTAAGGGGAATGGGCTTTAGGCAGCAGGCTCTGGTTGCTGCCTGCAGTGTCTTGTGTGGCCAGCAGAGGGCAGCCTGTGATGAACTGAGGCCTGGGCCACGGCGAACTGAAACCTGCCTTTGCCTGCCCAGCTTCTCAGCCCCTTCTGGCCCCTGCTTTGCTCTGGTCCAGAGCCTTTCCTGCCCAGCTCCTGTGGGCTTACTGTCTGAGGTCACGTCTGAGAACCCACCTAGCGGATAGATGTGCCTCCTGACCTGGCAACTTGGCAACTACATTCTACCCCTCAGGGAACATGTACCCCTAAAATACATGCGAATGGTAAAGTCGAAGGGTCCTAAGAAGAGGAATCTCCTGTCCCAGCCTCCCAGCAGACTTCCTCAGAGGCAGCTGCTGATACTGTCTCCTGAGGCTCCTTCCTGAACAGTGTTTTCTACGTGTAAGCACTTGTGTATACATCTAATAAACATACAAGTGGCATCATGGCGCACGCACACATTGTCGAGTCCTCGGCTGAGCTCCTTGGCTGCCTCTTCTGGGCAGGAGGGTCCAGCCCCAGGCTCTGACCTGCCAGCTCATCCTTTGCTCTGTCATCCTGGACCTGGAGAAGGTGAGGATCCTGTGCTGGCGCAGTGCCTGGACCATACCTCTGGGTCAACCACCCCCTGCTGCTTATCACTGTCACCACCACCCGCTGATTAGGCTACAAGGCAGGCAGGTGGGGCATGAGGGAAAGATGGGGTGGAGGAGGAAGAGGCAGGAGAAAGAAGGCACGAACATTGGGGAAACGCTTGAGTGTTTTCCTTTAGGAAGAGCCAACCTAAAGGCGAGCGCTGGTCTGCAGAGGAGAGGCGGTGGGGCCTCAGGTTATGGTTAGATAGCGTGTGTAGGATTTGGGGGAGTGACATTGCCTGCTCCTGTTTGGTTACTTTTTCTGAGGATTTTCCAGAAGCCACAGTGTGTCTGATGTGGGGGCCGGTGTAGGAGGGCAAATTGCTAAATTCGGGTGGGATGTGCAGCCAGTGCAATGTAAGTAGCGTTTTTGCAGTCCGTGGTGTGTGGCCAGCTGTACTAAGAAGGAAGAGCAGTTCATGGAGCTGGAGATCATAAAGGCAGCAACTTATGAGTGTACTGGGTTCTGAGAACTGTACCAGATTTTACGATCTTTTATCCTTAGATCCACCCTGCCAGTGGGTGTCACTCGCGTTCCATGGATGAGGAAGCAGGCTCAGAGAGGCCAAGGGGCCAGGACTGGTCCCCGGCAGTGCTGGAGCTCCGCCCAGGCGGTCTGCCCACGCTGCCCTAGGTGGACATTGGAGAGCTCTCTGACTGGACACAGGATGTTGCTGTTGAGCCATCAAGCCAAGCCAGATGCCAGCCATCCTTGGCTCTCAGAGGCCAACATGCGCGCTCTGCCCACCCGTCGGTTGCAGTTATAATTTCTTGCCCCTCTGACCCTCAAACTTCCAGGCGCGCCCGGATGCAGACAAGATTGGGTACTTTGAGCATCCCAGTGGTTTTGGTCCTTGACGGGGACAGAGCCAGTGCTCTTCTCTGGACTGTGTCACTGATTGGAAACAGCAGTGTCTGGGCAAGGAGCTGAGGGCTCAGGTGTAACAGTGAGCTTAGCTGCCATCTGTTAAGTGTGCCAAGCCCTGCGCTAAGCATTCTGCACACATAGTCTCATTTTTTTCCCCCCGATAGCCCTAGGGAAGGCTGTTATCCCCATTTCAGAGATGAGGGTGCTGAGGGCCAGAAATGTCATCATGATCTCCTGGGGTCTCCAAGCTGGTACGGAGCTGAGCCGGGTAGGAACTGGGCCTGCCTGGCACCACTGTCATGCTCTTACCCACTGCCCTGGTGCCTTAGCTCCCTCTGTCCACACCAGCAGTGGACTAACTGGTACTACTGGGGCGTTCACCCACCTGGTGGGGTGGCAGGTGCAATCTTAAGCACTTTGAAAGCTGGGCTCTGCCTCCCGTGGCTCATGTTTCCCCGGCTTGGGCTAGAGCAGTTCATAGCAGCTGGTAAGGTCTGAATGGTCTCTCCCTGCACCTGTCCCTGCACCCCAATCTGTCAGCAAGCAAGCCTCAGCTCTGGAGCATGGAGCTAAGTGTACAAGGTGCGTTCAGTCCTCACACAACCCCATAGGGTCATCACTTCTGGGCTTTCAAAGGCCAAGCTGTCATTCAAGGGCAGAGCTGCCACTTGAACTCAGTTCTGTCCGGTAAAGCGTGTGCGCTTAACTCTCCTACTAGCATAGTCTCTGAACTAAGAGCTAGGTCAGGCCCTCTGATGAGTGTGAGCAGACGAGGGATGGGCCATCTGACGCAGGCTGACCAGGGACAGGCAGTGCCTGAGGCCACTGTGGGCCTGGAACGGCAGGCAAGAGAGCCTCTTCACAGAAGAAGGGGCAAGTGAGGGACCACAGAGGCCAGGGAAACCTACTGACTGTGCTGTCCTGATGTTTAGAGCTGCCACTACACAGTAGGTCACCTGGTAGGCCGAGTGATGTGCTGAAGATTGCTCTGGGTGCCAGGCAGGAAGGCTGGGAGCACAGTGAGCATCACTGCCCATCTAAAGAGCTGTCTCCACCCGGGTCCTATACTGGTGCTTGCTGTGTTCTGGGCTGTGTGCTAGGGTCTAGGGAACCAAAGATGGGTAAAGGCACGGTCTTTACATTCAAGGAGCTTTATGGGGCTCAAGGATCAGGCCTTCAGTGTACCTTGGCTTCAGGCATAGCCGTGGCCAGTCCACAAGGGGTCTACTCATCTGGCCAGTCTTTGTTGAGGGCTGGTGGGTATGGATGTGGGGCTCACAGTTCACACACGTGAGGTGTGGGAGGTTATGTGGGGACCACTCCTGGTTGCAGCAGTCAGGGAATGCTGCTTCGAAGTGAGATTTATGCAGGGTGGGTAGGAAGGACCAGCAGAGGGACACGGGGTAAGAGGGAGCCCGGCACATCTGAGGAACGAAAAGATGAAAATGTGCGGCAAGGCTGAAATGTCAATGTGATTGGTTTTTGAAAGTATACGTTCCTATGTTAAAAAGTCAAGAGATATAAGAAGGTGTCTTTCAGTTATCTGGTGCTGCTATAACAAATACAAGTGGATGACTTTAACACAGAAATTTATTTTCTCACAGTTTAGGAGGCTAGAAGTCCAAATTCAGAGCGCCAGCTACAGGGGAAGGCTTTCTTTCTGTCGGCCCTGAAGGAAGGTCCTTGTCTCTTCAGCTTCTGCTTCCTGGTTCTTTGGATATCTTCATGTGGCTTGGATCTGTCCTCTTCTGGCTTGTTTAATCTCTTTTACATCCCAAAAGAGATTGACTCAAGATATACCCCACACTAATCCTGCCTTGTTAACATAACAAAGAGCCCATTCCCAAGTGGGATTATAATCACAGGCATACCCATACCCATTGCCCTTGAGTTAATTCTGACTCACAGCTACCCTATAGAACAGGGTAGAACTGCTCCATAGGGTTTCCATGGAGCAGCTGGTGGATTCGAACTGCCAGCCTTTTGGTTAGTAGCTGAGCTCTTAACCACTGCGCCACCATGTCCCCAATCACAGGCACAGAGGTTAGGATTTAGAACACGTATTTTGTGGGGACACTATTCAACCCCTAACGACGTCAATGGTGTTCAGCAGGGGGGACATTGATCTGACTGCTGCGTTGGCTGTGTGATAATCGATTGGAGGAAAACAGTGGGTTCCTAGAAACTGCTGGAACCGGAGCATAGAGCTGTACACATGCCTTTCCCGTCCCAGCCCTGCCTCCCCCCATTCGGCCAAGGATTAATGATTACAGCTTTTGGGGAATTAGTTGTTGAGGACTTTGGACCTTAGGGACAGTGTGCCCAGGAGACAGTGGTGATAAGGCTGGGTTCAGCCGGGGAGGCAACCTGGCCAGTATCCCCTTTTCCCTGGTAGGAGAGTGACTGTTGAAGGGGCTGAGCATTGTTTCTTCTGCACTTGCTACAGCCCTTTTCACATGGAAAAGGAAGAAAAGGCCGTTCTCCTGGAGAGGTGTAGGTGCTTGGCCAAGCACACCTGCTGTGTGCCAGGCACCATGCCGGGCAAGCTCACCTCGCCACTGAATGTACGCCTCTTGAAGCTCCCTTGGAACCAAGCACAGTCAGCAATGGCCTTTCCACGTGCTGCCCACCCGCTGTAAACAGCCGAGCCCAGATGTCCCAGCATGACTGAGCTATAGTGCCCCCCATAGCATTCCCGTGGTGTGGCAGGCACGGCGCGTGCACAGGGCTGGCAGACCCGAGGGTGAAGGCTGGCACAGCCACTTGCTGGCTGTGTGGCCTGTATGAGGGACAGCAGTGCCCCAGGAATGTGACTGAGGGCTGATGGGGCACCGCGTGGGGCATCTGGGTGAAGCCACACCCCAGGAGCTCCTTGCTTGTGCCAGGCCCTCTCCATGCCTCTTGTTGAATCCACCCATGTAGCAGCCCCTCACACGGGGCACCATCTGTCGCAGCGGCGGCGAATGTCGGTACGGCGAAGACAGTAACCAACTGCACAACTCTTACAGAGAAGTGGGGCCAGGAGGGTCACTCTGAGGAGTCAAGCATGGTAGATCATTAACCAGCTGGGAGCTGGGAGACGTGTCCAGTGGTCCCACCCTGGTGAGGACGGCGTTGTTACCGGGGAGGAGGCTGTCTTAACCTGCTGCCCAGGAGCCGGTCCTCTGCTCACCCAGCATCTGGCCGCCTGCCCGCCTGCCCCTTCCCAGAGCCAGGATGGTGGAGGCTAGCCTGAGGTGCTGGCTGCTCTGTGTCCTGCTGCTGTACTTGGTGAGTCCTCGGTGCCTGTGTCTACCGCCCGCCACCCCCATGGGGGCACAGCTGGGTACTTGGACAGGGGGCTGTGTGGCTCCTGGGGCCTGGGACCGCACGCTGTGAGTTCTCAGGGTCTGCAGGAGTCAGCAGGCCCTGAGGGTCAACTAGGGGCCAGGCTGGTCTGTGAGTAGTGGTGGGTCCCAGCCCCCTAGAGAAGAGGGTGGGGGACAGTCCTGGCTGTCCCCCTCCTGACTCTCCAGATCATGGGATTGAACTGGACCACAGAGGTCTGGGAGTGTAGGCAGCTGCAATGGGGAGGCAGCTTGTGCTCTGGGCTCAGAGCTGCCCCCATCCCTAGTCCTGCTATGGGAGTCATTGAGTCCTGGAGGTGTAGGGGGAGGTTTGGGGAACAGATCCAGTCCTAGGGGTGTGGCAAGAGGAATCCAGTCTTGCAGGTGGGCGGGAGGGGAGCATCACCGGGGAGGACTGAGCACCCTGGGGGTGGGGAAAAGGCCTGGGGATCCTTAAGTGTCTTGCCCGCTCTGCAGTGGAGGGCGGTGGCAGCTCAGGCTCTGAGCAGGTGCTGTAGAAGCAGCCCTGCACTCAGCGTTTCCAACAAGGACCCACCGGGTCTTCTAGGCACAGCTGTGCAGCTTGGGGCCTGCAGCCTCGGGCTGAGTCAGTGCCCACAGAGCTGCCTGTGCTGGGAAGTCCCCAGGTGTCCACACCAGCCCCTTGGAGCCAGCCTCAGCACCCGTGCCACCCAGGCATCCTCACTGCTCTCCAGGACCCTTGCAGCTGCCTCAAGAGGGGCTTCTGGGCGGACTCCGTCCTCCCTCCTTGCTTCATCGGGAGCAGGGGTGTGGTGGCGGGGAACCCTTCTAAACTGCACATCTACTGAGGTCCCTTCCTCACCCTCAGCATGCATAGTCTAGGCAGTGCTTACCGCTCCAGGCCCCCTTTCCTCCTGCCCCAGTCACACTGCTGGCAAACTGTCCAGTGTCCTCGGCCAGCTGACGGGCTCACTCCCTCTGCGTCCCCCCTGGGACACCCTGTGCCCCAGGCAGCCCTGCAGGCTCAGTGACATCCTCTGTTCCGCAGGCCCAGGCGCAGGTGTACACGCCCATCCACCAGGCTGGCTACTGCGCCTCCTATGATGAGTGCGGGAAGAACCCTGAGCTGTCTGGGAGTTTGGCACAGCTGTCCAACATCTCCTGCCTGTCCAACACGCCTGCCCGCCACATCACGGGCCAGCACCTGGACCTCCTGCAGCGTGTCTGCCCCCGCCTCTACACTGGCCTCAACACCACCTATGCCTGCTGCTCCTCCAAGCAGCTGGAGGCCCTGGAGCTAAGCCTGGCTATCACCAAGGCTCTCCTCACACGCTGCCCCGCCTGCTCTGACAACTTCGTCAGCCTGCATTGTCAAAACACCTGCAGCCCTAACCAGAGCCTCTTTATCAACGTGACGCGTGTCTCCCAGGTGGCCGCTGGGCAGCCCCCAACAGTGCTGGCCTACCAGGCCTTCTACCAGCGCAGCTTCGCTGAGCGTGCCTACGACTCCTGCAGCAATGTGCGCATCCCCGCGGCCGCCTCACTGGCCGTCGGCACCATGTGTGGCGTGTACGGCTCTGCTCTGTGCAACGCCCAGCGCTGGCTCAACTTCCAGGGAGACACCAGCAACGGCCTGGCTCCGCTGGAGATCAACTTCTACCTCCTGGACTCCAGCCAGGTCCCCGGGGACGGGATACAGCTTCTGAACTCGGAGATCATGGGCTGCAACGAGTCTCAGGGGATTGACAGCCCGGCCTGCTCGTGCCAGGACTGTGCCTCAGCCTGCCCTGTCATCGCGCACCCCCAGCCCCTGGATGCCACCTTCCTCCAGGGCCGGATGGTGGGGGCCCTTGCCCTTGTGACCATCCTCTGCTCCGTCTTTGTTGTCTTCGTCACCTTCCTTGTGCAACCCCGCCTGGCCCACTGCAGGGACAAGGGCAAGGCGGAGGGCCCTGGTGTGCACACGGGCTTCTTCGAAAGGCTCAGCTTCACCACTCACAAGCTCCTGCGCCACTTCTTCCAGGCCTGGGGTACATGGGTGGCCTCATGGCCACTGACCGTCCTGGGGTTGTCCATTGCAGTGGTGCTGGGTTTGGCGGGGGGCCTGGCCTCCGTGGAACTTACCACAGACCCCGTGGAGCTGTGGTCAGCTCCTAACAGCCAGGCTCGACGGGAGAAGGAGTTCCATGATGAGCATTTTGGGCCTTTCTTTCGCACCAACCAGGCAATCCTGGCTGCACCTGGCCGGGACAGCTATGTCTATGACTCCCTGCTGCTGGGGCCCAAGAACTTCAGTGGGGTCCTGTCGCCGGACCTCCTGCTGGAGCTACTGGAGCTGCAGGAGAGGCTGCGGCAGCTGCAGGTGTGGTCGCCCGAGGAGCAGCGCAACATCTCGCTTCGCGACATCTGCTATGCCCCACTCAGCCCACACAATGCCAGCCTCTCAGACTGCTGCGTCAACAGCCTGCTGCAGTACTTCCAGAACAACCGCTCGCGCCTGCTGCTCACTGCCAACCAGACCCTCATGGGGCAGTCCTCCCAGGTTGACTGGAGGGACCACTTTCTCTACTGTGTCAAGTGAGTCGTCGCATGGTAAAGCCCTGGGACGGCCAAGGGGCTCCCAGACAGGCTGCCAGAGGGGCCCCCCGGGGTGTCTGGGGAAGGACACAGCCCAGCTAGAGGGCTCAGGGTGTCTCTGCAGGGGGCTGCAATGCACTTCATTCTCCTGGTGCCTTCTCCAGCCTCTCCCTCCCTGTCTTCTTCGAGCCTTCTTGCTATAGCACACTCTGAGGGCCACTTTCCTTCCGCTCCACTTCCTTTCTGTTGGGGGGTCCCTCCTCTCTCGGTTTAAATCTTTAGAGAGGAGTCTGAATGGCCCCCACTCGGGGTCCAGTTTGCTTGTTGTTTTTGTGCTAGGCCATTGGTTACAGGCGCCAGGCCTTTGGGAGCCCACGTGGTGCCGCACGCAGTGTGAATAAAAAGAGACCTCGTGCCAGGGCCCGGGGGCTGTGGCTTCCAGCCGCCCACACTTCATCTGGCTGGGTGTCCCTCAGAGGGCTTGGCCCACACGTCTTCACCTTGTTTGGAGTTAGGTCCCTGCCTTAGTCCCTCTTCTGTGGCACAAACGTGAAGCAAAGTGCAGGGTGCTCTGAGGCGGCAGGGGCAGTGGCCCTGGGGCTCTTCGGCGTTGAACCAAACCCCCTGCCGTCAAGTTGATTCCGACTTACGGTGCCCCCATAGGGTTTCCCAGGCTGTAAATCTTTACGGAAGCAGGCTGCCACATCTTTCTCCCGAGGAGCTGCTGGTGATTTCCCACTGCCGACCTTTCAGTTAACAGGCAATCACTTTAACCACTGCGCCACTAGGGCTCCCTGAAGTACACTAGTGGCCCTCAAATGTTTTTGGTCTCAAGGCCTCTTTACACTCTTAAAAATTATTGAGGACCCCAAGAGCTTCTGTTAATGTGGGTTATATCTCTCAACATGTACCACATTAGAAATTAAAACTGAGAAATTTAAAATATAGTTATTAATTCTTTTAAAAAATAACAATAAACCCAATTATGTGGTGACACACATAGCACGTTTTTATGAAAAATATAATTTTTCTGAAACAAAACAAACAAAAAAATAGTGAAAACTGTGCATTGTTTTGCATTTTTGCAAATCTATTTAATGTCTGGCTTAAGACAAGACAGCTGGATTTTCATAACTGATTCTGCATTCAGTCTGTTGCAACATGTTGGTTGAAGTATACTGAGAATATCTGGCTCATACACATATGTAGTTGGAAAACTGAGGTGTGTTCATAGCCTTTCCAGATAACGTGGATATTCTTCTTTGATGCTACACCAAAACTCGACAAGTGGCTTTTTCTTAAATGCTAGTTGCCATACAAAATCTGAAATTGTATCAATGAACTTCTTGTACTTCATACAAAGAGAGAGGGAGACAGTGAAGGTAAGAAAGGCAAACAGCATCTTAGTGTTATTATGAAAGTAGTTTTGACATTGCAGACCCTTGAAAGTGTCTCAGAGCTCCTGAGGGCCCTCAGGCCACACTGGATTGGAGGAGAGAACCAGTCCTGTCTGTCCTCTGCTCTCCACCCCTCAGCTCAGCCCACAGTCTGGAGTGTCTGGGTGTCTGTGCTTCCAGGAGCAGGGAGCGGGCCTCAGCAAAGGGCAGGGCAGAGGGGAGGCTGTGCCATGGCTCCAGGGGCACCAAGGGGCGTCAGAGTGGTGATCCCAGACTCACACCTGCTCCGAGGCTTACAACCTCTCCCCCACGTTATCTTTATTTTGATTTTGGATTCTCACAACTCTGGTCTTTTGTTCTCATTAACAGACAGGAAAACTGAGGCTCAAAGCGGGGAGGTGAGCTGCTCAAGGTCCTAGAGCAAGTGGGCGCAGAGCTGGCACTCCTGACCAGCAGCCAAGGGCGTGTAGAGCTTTTCATGTACATACCCACTGCCTCTTTGCACCCACTCTCTTTACAGAAAGTGCACGTGTAAGGGCACAGGGTTGTTGTTCAAGGTCACCCACTGGTAATGGTGGTGCTGGTGGTGCTGATACCGTGAGGCTCCTGGGCTCTGGGCCTGGAGTGACTTCAGGCCCTGGGGTGGAGAAGGCCAGGGTTGCAGCATGTGGAACTTCCGGTTCAAATCCTAGCCCCCAGCTCCCATGGAACCTTATGAGTGTTGCCCAGTTGGCTTGCTTCATCTGGAAATGAGAACAACACTGGTGCCTGGTTTGCAGGGCTGGTGTGAGGGTGCAAGAGAGGACAGTCAGCGCTGGGAGAGCACCCGCCTACACAGAGAGAGCATGGAAAAGATTAGCTTGACCTCACTTGTCTCAGTTCCTTAGTGCTTCTGCAGCAGAAATACCCTGGGTGGGTGGCTCGAACGAAAAGAAATTTCTTTTCTCACAGTTTAGGAGGCTAGAAGTCTGAATTCAGGGCTCTAGAGGTACGCTCTCTCTGTCTGCTCTGGGGGAAAATCCTTGTCTCAGCTTCTGTAACCCCAGGGTTCCTCAGTTCCTTGGAGATCTCCACGTGGCATCTATCTTTCCCCGTCTGTGCTTGCTTCTCTCCGCACCCAATCTGCTCTTTTTATATCTTAAAAGTGACTAGGTTTAAGACGCACCCCACACTGATATGACTTCATCCACATAACAGAGAAAACTCTATTCCCAAATGGAATTACATCCATGGGCACAGACACATATGTGTTAAAGTTCCAACACATCTTCTGAGGGGTCACAATTCAATCCATAACACCACTTTACTTACTGGGGTTCTTCAGGAGACTGTGTTTGTAAAACTGGCTCTGAGTTAAAACCATTACCAACCCCCCGGGCCTTCCTGCTGCTACTCCACAGTAGTGTGATTGGAGTGGTGCGGGGCGCCTACAACAGGGCCTGTCTCCCCACAGCGCCCCCCTCACCTTCAAAGATGGCACGGCCCTGGGCCTGAGCTGCATGGCTGACTACGGGGCTCCCGTCTTCCCTTTCCTCGCTGTGGGGGGATACAAAGGTAACGTGGCAGCCATGGAGGAAGCCTGGGGCGGCAGGTGGGAATGTGACAGGGTTCCGGCCGCCTTGAGGTGGCCCAGCTTGTGGGGGAGTTTAGACGGCCTGCCTGCCCTGTCTCTGCATCTTCATTGTCTGGTAGCACATTGTCCAGATGCTCTTGCTCTGGGCCTGGGCCCACAGGTCTTGCCTTTGGCTGAGAGGGAAGTGGGGTGGGTGGGCTGGCAGAGACTAGGAAGAGGAAGTCAAGGAGTGGGAGAGGGGATGGAGGGCTGAGATGGTCTTAGCTCCTTGCTGACTGTGTCTTTCCCAGGGAAGGACTATTCTGAGGCAGAGGCCCTGATCATGACCTTCTCCCTCAACAACTACCCTTCTGGGGACCCCCGGCTGGCCCAGGTTAAGCTCTGGGAGTCGGGCTTCCTGAAGGAGATGCAAGCCTTCCAGCGGCGGACAGCCGGCACCTTCCAGGTCACCTTCATGGCAGAGGTGAGCATGGGCCCTGCGGCTTGGGGTGCAGCCCAGGCAGCCTTGAATGGGTTCCTGTGCCCAGTCCTGGCCTTGCCACCTCCTGGGTGACCTCACCACCTTGTGTCCTGGCCGCCGAGCAGGGTTGATTAGGACAGTCCTGTTCTTAGAAGGCTGCTCTGGGGCTTACAGCCACTCCCCAGGCACAAGCATGTGAACAGCTGTTAGTGCTCACTACGCTTCGCTGCTGCTGTGATGATGACGACGATGATGATGATGACAATTCCTCCCTCCCCTCAGCCCTCTCGTTCCTCCGCTGAGACCCTTCCTGCCCCCTTAGGCCATGGGCTTTGTGAAAGCGGCCCAGAGCAGGGCTTAGCCAATTTGCTTGCTGGTGTGTGTCCACAGCGCTCCCTGGAAGATGAGATCAACCGCACCACAGGGGAAGACTTGCCCATCTTCGCCACCAGCTACATCGTCATCTTCCTGTACATAGCCCTGGCCCTGGGCAGCTACTCCAGCAGGGGCCGAGTGCTGGTGAGCAGGGACTGGGTTGGGGGGACGCAGTGGCCTCCTGTCCATGATGGGAGGACAGGTGGCCCCAGGGCTCCAGAAGCCCTTTTTGAGTTCTGAACTTTCATAACCAGAGCCCCTCGAAACACAGAGCAAAGTGGACACACCCACCCAAAGCCAAAGTGGCCCCCCACTGTTTCTTTGCAGTGTTTTGTTTTAAACGGTCAAATGACATTTTCATTCTGCTACATGACATATCCCCGCTTGGTTAAAGGCAAAATCCAGTATCTAGAGTTTCTTACAATGGAGTCTAGAGGGGGGATGAGGCCGGCGTGCGCCTGCTGCTCAGGCTGTGGCTGTGGCGCCGCAGGCCTGCCTGGGAGGTGCCCAGTGAGAGAAGCCCTGGCCCTGGCCGGGCACCCACCCAGGCTGCCTGCCGCCAGCTCTTCCTCTAGCCCAGGAGGCTGAGCCCTGATTCTGTTGCAGGTGGACTCCAAGGTCACACTGGGCTTGGGCGGGGTGGCAGTGGTGCTGGGAGCAGTCATGGCTGCCATGGGCTTCTTCTCCTACCTGGGATTCCCCTCCTCTCTGGTCATCCTACAAGTCGTGCCTTTCCTGGTGCTCGCTGTGGGCACTGACAACATCTTCATCTTCGTTCTTGAGTACCAGGTAAGAAAGGGAGGGGCTCTGCAGCCTGAGTCAGTCTGCTGGGCATTCCTCCAGACTCTTCCTTTGCATCGACACACGTATTTACAGCACCTACAGAAAGCAGGGAGTCCTTCGGTGGCACAAATCGTTATCATGCTTGGCTGCTAGCCAAAAGGTTGGCGGTTCGAGTTCACCCAGAGATGCCTCAGAAGAAAGACCTGGCGATCTACTTCTGAAAAATCAGCCACTGAAAACCCTGTAGAGCACAATTCTACTCTGACACACATGGGGTCACCATGAGTTGGAGTCGACTTGATGGCAACGGGTTTCTGTAGAAAGCAGTGCTTTGTGTCTAACGTGAGTGGATGCGTGCTGCATGTATCATCTTGCATGAACTTGCTTTCTGCCAGCCCCACAGTCCTGCAAAGCTTTCCACGTCAGTGTGTTGGAGGTGCCTCCTGTCTTCACACTGCTACATGGCGTTCCAGAGTAAGGATAGATTGGGCATGCTTGGTCCCCTCCGGATGGACATTCCAGTTCCATCTATGTGCTGCAGCAGTGATGCTGTGACGCCCTGAAGCACCATGCCCGGCACGTTTGGGGTCAGCCCCACGGTGGGAGGGCAGCAGTGCTGAGTGCCTACCAGTGCCTCCTTGTACCTTGTGGAGTCTCTGGGCAGTGGCCATTCCTGGCATTTCCTCAGCGGCAACTATCGGCTCCCTACTAGCATGAGAGGAGCACTGGTTGCTCAGTGGTTGAGTGTTCGGCTGCTAACCAAATGGTCTGCAGTTCGAATCCACCAGCTGTTCCTTGGAAACTCTACGGGGCAGTTCTACTCTGTCCTGTAGGGTCACTATGAGTTAGAATTGGCTTGACAGCAATGGGTACTTTTTTTTGGTTTACTGGACTGGGAGGGACCATGCCCTTGGCTGGGACCTGGACCCTGTCCCTGCTGTCCCCACACAGAGGCTGCCAAGGAAGCCCGGGGAGCGGCGGGAGGAGCACATTGGCTGCACCCTAGGCCACGTGGGCCCCAGCATGCTGCTGTGCAGCCTCTCTGAGGCCACCTGCTTCTTCTTAGGTGAGGCTGGGTCTGCGGCTGATTGGAGGGCCCCAGTGGGCCAGACCCTTGCCTCTGCCCCTGTCTGTGCAGACCTTCTCTCTGCCTGGGACCGGGTGTCCTGACAGGCCCCTCCCCTCCACAGGGATGCTGACCCCCATGCCAGCTGTACGTACCTTCGCCATGACCTCTGGCTTAGCGGTGGTGCTCGACTTCCTGCTGCAGATGACGGCCTTTGTGGCCCTGCTTTCCCTGGACAGCAAGAGGCAGGAGGTGGGGGTGGGCCTGGGCTCAGGGTCCCGCTGGCTGCCGGAAAGCCTGTCTGGGAGTTGGGGTGGCCTCACTTCTGCCAGAGTGGCTGGGAGGGAGAGCATTATGTTGGGAGGGGAATGTTTGGGCCTTGTAGTTCCAACTTTCCATACAACAGTGATTTCATCTGGGTCATTTTTGGATATGTGATAGAACCTCCAAAAGTGAGGTCAGCTAAACAAAATATGAGTGAGAAGGTGACAGGGAGCTATTGGTTCTGCAACACTGTAAAATTCAGAGATGTTTTAGCAAGAGAATAAAAACAAAGGAGAACAGCGCACAGTGGGCAGGTGGGCGTGCTGGTCTGCCGAGCACCACCCTGAGGGGCTGCCTCCTCCAGGCTTCCCGCCTTGATGTCTGCTGCTGCCACAGGGCCGAGCAGGCACCCCCGCCCAGCCCCAGGGAGGGGCTCCTGCTCCGCTTCTTCCGCCAGGTCTACGTGCCAGTCCTGCTGCACCAAGTCACCCGCGTGGTCGTGGTGAGTTGGAGGCCTGGCCACCAGGGAGGGTTTGCTCAGCCTTGAACCTGGCCTTTCTTGTGAGAAGGCAGGGCTTGGAGAGGTGGGGGACTACCCAGGCTGGGGCTAATGTAGGTGGGCTGGGAAGCAGGCTAGCCCAATGCTTCCAACCAGACCACCTGGAGAGCGGGGGGAGGAGGGGGAGCAGGGAGGCCACCGTGGAGGCTCTCACCCACTCCCTCCCCAGCTGGTGCTGTTCCTTGCCCTGTTTGGAGTGGGGCTCTACTACATGTTCCACATCACTGTGGGCCTCAACCAGGAACTGGCCCTGCCCAAGGTGAGACCCTCACATTGGGAGTGCTGTGTGGCTGGGGCTTGGAGGTGCTCCCAGGAGGATGTGGAGAGAGGCCACGTTAGGTGGGAAAAGTGCAGACGCTAAAGACCAGTGCAAGGCTAGAGGACAGGAGGTGGCCCAGGCATCCCGAGAGTGGGCAGACAGAACAACTCTAAGCATGGCACGTGGGCCTCTGGCTCCCGCCTCAGAGCCCCTCCCTCCTCAGAGCCCCTGTGTGTCCAAGCCGCAAGCCGCAGGATGAATAGAAAGTGGTCTCATTAATTCACAGCCCGTCTGGTATACATCTGGGCCGTGTGACCCTGGCTTACAAGCAGCACTCTGGGCCCAGGGGCCTGGGAGGACTTCTGGGAGGCTGCAAGTTCTGGGCAAGCCTATGAGGGCAGGTGGGGTTGGAGCAGAGGGCAGTGAGGGCGGTCTGTATGAAAGCTGGGGAGACTTGGAGGGAAGAGGCACATTCCCTGCCCACGTGGGAGGCCTGACTGCCAGGCTTGGCCATTGGGTCTCCATCCTGACAGGTGTCGGGGGCCCCTGGGAGCAGTGGTCAGGGAAGAGTGCTGGCTTAGCAAGTGACAGAGTGGACAGGCATGCTGCGTAACCAAGAAAGAACTCACCACGTGGCTGGGTGTGCACCAAAGTCCTGGCCAGTAGCCATGGAAGGCAGTGAAGGGGCCGACCAGCAGAGCTGGGGCTGCTGAGCTGGGAGAGAGGGAGAATGGGGCGTGGACGCTGGGGCCTTGGAGCCTGGCACAGCCCAGAGGAGAGCCGGGCCTGGGCCTGGCTACAGTGAGCCTGGCGCAGCTACGGGGATGTTGGAGCTGGTCCAAGCCTTGAAGAGATCAGACACAGAAGACAGTAGAACCTTTGAGTCACCCAGGAAGCAATGAGGAGAGAAGCCAGCCAGGTGACAGGGTTGAGGAGGGCAGAGCCGCCTGCAGAGCAGCAGTGACTTCAGAGGGCTTCTAAGAGCTGGTGGGGGCCAGAGACAAACAGCCAGCTGGCCTGTGTGGGGGTGTTATGTTGAGAGGAATAGGGAGAGGCCAGTGGAGGTGCCAATCCCCATGGATCACCTGAGCGAACATGGGGACGTCTGTGTGTGGATGTGCATAGGGGCACAGCCTGGCTGGGGGAGGGCAACTGCCCATACTGGGCATCACAGGGTGGACGGGATGGTACGCATGTGTTCACGTAGGCTGGAATGTGCTGCTCTGTGCTTGTACCTCCATGAGCGTACCTGTGTGCATGTGTCTGTGTGTGTATACCTGTGTGTACCTCTGTGTGTGTACTTCTCTCTGTATATGTGTGTGTGTGTGTGTGTACCTCTGTGCATGTACTTCTGTGTGTGTGTGTGTGTGGGTACCTCTGTACCTCTGTGGGTGTACCTGTGTGCATGTATCTCTGTGTATACTTTGTGTGTATACCTCTGTACATATCTGTGTGTGTGTACTGTATGTACCTCTGTGTATATACTTGTGTGTGTACCTATGGGTGTACCTCTGTGGATGTACCTGTGTGTGTGTGTGCACTTCCGTGAGCACATGAGTAGGAGAGAGCCCTTAGGGGTGGGCCTGGCCCACTGAGGCTCACTAACTTTCCTGTGCCTCCCAGGACTCATACCTGCTCGACTACTTCCTCTTTCTGAACCGCTACTTTGAGGTGGGGGTCCCTGTCTACTTTGTCACCACCACGGGCTATAACTTCTCCAGCATGGCTGGCATGAATGGCATCTGCTCCAGTGCCGGCTGTGACAACTACTCTTTAACCCAGAAGATCCAGTACGCCACAGAGTTCCCTGAAGAGTGAGTGAACCTCCACCCTTGGCCCCTCCAGCCTGCCCCTTCCTCTCCTTTCCCGGGTCCCTCTCCCTGTCCTTTCTCACAACTAACTAGTCCACCGAGAGGCTTCCTTGCCCCTGCCCAGCAGCCCACCTGCCTGCTGGTGCCTGGGGAAGCCCCAGTGGGAGGTCGGGCACTGAGGGACTCCTGCCCCACCTGACCGGACCTGCTTGACCTCCTTTCCCCTGCCCCTCCTCTCTCCTGCCCCTCAGGTCTTACTTGGCCATACCAGCCTCCTCCTGGGTGGACGACTTCATTGACTGGCTCACCCCATCCTCTTGCTGCCGCCTCTACGCCTTTGGCCCCAATAAGGATGAATTCTGTCCCTCGACCACCAGTGAGCACAGGGCCTAGGGGGCCCCCTTGTCCACCTCAGCTTCAGGAGATTGAGGTGCAAGGAGCAGTGGTTGAAATGAGGGGCTGGCCAACCTCCCTGTCCCCTCTTGTCGCCTCTGCCAGGGTCCGGCTCTCCCTCGCCACCCTTCACCACCCGTGTCACGGGGTGGGGCAGAAGCCTGAGGGAGCCCTTGTGTGGCAGCCGTGCACAGAGCCGCGGATGCCCACACATGCACACCAGACACCCTGATGGTGGGCAGCTGTGGTTGGGTAGGGCGTGGAGAGCAGAGGTTGGTCCAGCACCCTGGTGGCTGGACCAGCTCCCTTCATGGTTGGAGGAGCACCTCCGTGTGGTCTGACTGCCTTCCTCACCTGCCCATGGGTGCCCACAGTTTCTATGCCTGGAGAGGGAGCTGTTCTCCCTGATCACTGTTGTTTGGTGCCCTTGAGTCAATTCCGACTCATAGTGACCCCATGTGACAGAGTAGAACTGCCCCATAGGGTCTTTCTTTTGCAGAGCCACTGGGTGGGTTCCAGCTGCTGACCTTTCAGTTAGCAGCCAAGAGCTTAACCCTTGCACCACCATGGCTCCTTTCTTCCCAATTAATGGTGACAAATCTCTCCAGAGGTAGCACATGGCCTTACATAGTTCTCTTATGGTGTCAGTGATAAGGGCAGGCCCTCAGAGGAGGGGGGTAGGGACTGGGTGGGGCGGAGCCCCAGGTTGGGGCCTGCCCTGGGACCCAGCCTGCCTCTCTACCCCAGGTTCCTTGAGTTGCTCTAAAAGCTGCATAAGCTTCACTCTGGGCCCTGTCCGGCCCTCGGTGGAAGAGTTCCACAAGTACCTCCCGCGGTTCCTGAGCGACCCGCCCAACATCAACTGTCCCAAAGGGTAGGCCAGGCTGGCTCTGCTTGGGAGGACAGGTGTGGGGCTCCGGGGAAGGGTGAAGTAGGCAGGAGGAGAGATCCTGTCCAGGCTCAGCCTTTGCTCTGGCATTCTCCTCACAGGGGCCTGGCGGCTTACAGCACTTCTGTGAACATAAGCCTAGACGGTGAGATTTTGGGTAAGCATGGCTGAGCTGGGAGGCCTGAGGGCCCTCTGCATGCACGGTCTCCTTCCTCCTTCACATGAGGCTTCTCACTGCCCCACCTCTCAAGGCTTCAGTCTCCCAGCCTATGCCCCTGCTTGCCTTCCCTGCCCCGTCCACGTCAGCCTGAAGTTCATGGAACGCTTTCAACAGCTGGCACAAATTACCCTTGAATACCAGTAGAGCCCAGCACAGCCATTGCGAACAATGTGGGCAGGGACTTGGCTGAGGCTGGAATGCCCAGCAGGGGCTGCCAGTTTACTCTGAGGACGCAGCGCACATGGGCTAGTGCAGGCAGACGGACCTGGGGGTCTGTGGCGGGGCACTTCCCTGTGTACTGAAATAACCCATTTGGATTATGCACGAGCATGTATTACTTTAATATTAAGAAAACAAGGAACTGAAAAATGCTCTACCCACCCTCCTAGTTAAACCATCCGAGTTCCCATCTTCTAGAGAGGGGGTCCCTGCCCCCGTCCCCATCCATCCCATCAGAATGCCCCACTCTGTGCACCCCCACCCCTTCACACTGCCAGCATGAGTTGGTGGGGACAGAAGGGAGACCACTTGCTTGGGCTCAGAGGAGTGAGGGCATGGAGAGACAGGAACACAGATGCCTGACTGAGCCCTGAGTCTGCCCCAGCCCCACTGTGGCCTGGCTGAGTCTCCACCCACCTCTGACCATGGGCCTTTCACACCAAGCACACCAAGGCTGGTCTAGAGCAGTGGTCCCTGGACCCACTGCATGAGTATCACCTGGGAACTATTAGAACAGCAGATTCCCAGGCTCTGTTCTGACTCAGAACCTCTGGAGCTGGGCCAGCGACCTGTGTTTGATCAAGCCTGGTTCTGCTGTGCTGGGCCGGAGCGCTGCCACACTATTTCCCTGCTCTAAGATGGTACAAGTCCAAGAACATTTCTTTCTTTTGATTTTCTCCACAGTGGAAATAGCTGTACTGTTTCTTTTTTTGATATAAATGCTCATCACGAACAATTCAGAGTCCTCTTTACTGTGACTGTCAGGAGCCCCAGTCTACAACTCTATGGTGCTACAGTGCAACTGTTTGCATTTTTCTGTGCTCTTCTCTGGTCCTTTTCTGTAGGAATATGCACATTTGAGAAGTAATTGTATTGAATGAATTTTTACAGCCCAGTGTATGTTTTGAAGCTACACAGAGGAGCATTTGGGCCCATTAGCGTGGTTGCTTTAGGATCAGTAGTAGTGCCTGAACTCTTGACTGGCCCTGCAGGCATACCAGCTACAGAATCTGCAAGCCCAGGGCAAAATGAAATGCGCAGCCCTGGTTATTAAGAATTTAAGAGGGGTCACTCGCTGCCTGGGATGCTGGGCCTACAGCTAGGGATGCGATCCCAGGCATTCTGAAGCAAGACTAGCTCCTGGCAGAGGCTGAAGTTGTCCTGAAGTAGGATCTGACCCTTCTCCCATCTCCCCGGTCCACTTCTGTGCCGGCCCAGCCTCTCGGTTCATGGCCTACCACACGACCCTGAAGAACTCACAGGACTACACGGAAGCCCTGCGGGCAGCTCGAGCCCTAGCAGCCAACATCACTGCCAGCCTGCGGAAGGTCCCCGGAACAGACCCGGCCTTTGAGGTCTTCCCCTACACGTGAGGCCTTACGCAGCTGGGCCCCAGGAGGGACAGGGGCCGTCTGTTGGGGCCCAGAGTTTCGGAGTATGGGGCTGCAGGGGAGGCCGTATGGGAGGAGGACCAGGTTCGGGCTACGTTTTAGGCCTGTCGATTGCTCACTCTGGGAGCCTCTCTGAGCCTCAGTTTCCTCACTTTAAAGTGGGAGCACCCTGCCGGCCTTACAGGGATGCTGTGAGGATCAAATGATGGGTGTTTGTGAAAGCGTCTTGTCAACCGCAGGGTCACCAACGTGTTTTATGAGCAGTATCTGACTATTATCCCTGAGGGGCTCTTCATGCTGAGCCTCTGCCTCGTGCCGACTTTTGTCGTCTGCTGCCTCCTACTGGGCATGGACCTCCGCTCTGGCATCCTCAACCTCTTCTCCATCGTCATGATCCTTGTGGACACTGTTGGCTTCATGGCACTGTGGGGCATCAGCTATAATGCTGTGTCCCTCATCAACCTGGTCACGGTAACTCCCTAGACATGGGCTGGCAGCTCAAAGACTGGGTCCTGAAGGTAGAGGTGGCCCTGGAGGGGCAGTTTGGAACGCCAGCGCCTGGGACACTCCCAGTTCCTTTTGGTCCAGCAGAAGACCTCAGTCTCTCCACTTGCTCTTTCCCACCCCTAATCCCGGCCTTTCACAGCTGAAGCCTCCTCTCTCTGTAGGCGGTAGGCATCTCAGTGGAGTTCGTGTCCCACATCACCCGCTCCTTTGCCATCAGCATCAAGCCCACCCGACTGGAGAGGGCCAAGGAGGCCACCATCATCATGGGCAGTGCAGTGAGTGGGTGGGGCTGCCCCCACACAGCCCACGGTGGGGCACCCTGGGCCCAGTCTGACACCTGCCTATGATTCTCAGGTCTTCTCTGGGGTGGCCATGACTAACCTGCCCGGCATCCTGGTCCTGGGCCTTGCCAAGGCCCAGCTCATCCAGATCTTCTTCTTCCGCCTCAACCTGCTTATCACCCTCCTGGGCCTGCTGCACGGCTTAGTTTTCCTGCCCGTGGTCCTCAGTTACCTGGGTGAGTGCCCGCCTGCCCACCTGTTCTTGCCCTTGCTAGCCAGAGCCCACAGGCTCCCTGCTGTGACTGTGACGATGGTCACAAAGACAGTGCATGCTTGCTGCTGAAAGTATGGCCACACACAGGAGCCACAGTCAAAACATAGACATCCATAGGACACTCGCCCAGGGATGGATGCTGCCAGCACGTTTTTTTGCATACCTGTGGGTGTGTGTTTTAACAAGAATGTGGTCATACAGTGCTTTCTGTTCTGAAGGCTGCTCTTTTTGCGTTTAATGTATTGTGAGCATCTCTGCCAGCAGAAGTGTGTCTAAAGCACTGTTAAGTGACTACATGGTGTTTCATTGCTGTGCTTTTAAACTTTTAACCATGACCTTCAGTAAGAAATACATTTTACATTGAGAAGCACTGTGCATGGGCACACACATATAATTAAACAAGGTTTCACAAAATAATACCCTACTACACACAATGCAATCTGACATATTCTATTCTAGTCTGTTACTGGAGCCCTGGTGGTACAGTGGTTAAGAGCTTGGCTGTTAACCAAAAGGTGGCAGTTCGAATCCATTAGCCACTCCTTGGAAACCCTATGGGGCAGTTCTACTCTGTCCTATAGGGTTGCGGAGTCAGAATCAGCTCGATGGCAACAGATTTTTTTTTAGTCTTTCACTAATTTTAAAAATGATGCAGTAATGAATGGCAACTCGAAGTTTGAAAATGCCATACTATTGTATTGCTTAACCATTATTTGTTTGGCCCACTTCTACTTGTTGGGCATGAAATGATGCTGACTTTCTACTATTATTGTGGCTGTGAAGGTCCTTGGGGTTGAATCTTTGGCCTCGTCCTCAAAGATTCCCTTAGATGAAGTCCATGTAGCATTGCTTGTTAATGTCAAATTGCGCACCAGAAAGTTTCACCATTTCAGACCTCGACCAGCCCCTTTCTCTGCACCCTCATCCTTGAATGTCAGTGTTTCAAAATCTCTCCCTGCAGACTTTCAAAAGGAGCCCTCCAGAATCAGGGTGTTGACAGCTGGGAATAAGGGCAAGCTGAGAAAAGGAGTTTGATTTTATTCACCCACATCAGGGCATAATAATCAGCAGTAAAAATATTAGTAGAAAACATTTACCTAAGGGTATGTTTGTGCACATACATATACATGTGAATATATATTAAATTCTCTTAATGCTGTCTGAGGTAGGTATTGCTATCACTCCCATTTTATACAAGAGAAGAACCAGACACCTATCCAGGTCACAGAGTTGGTGGATATGGAGCAGGGATTCGAGCCCCAGTGGTCCTAACCATGCCCCATGCTGTGTCTTGTTGGGAGCTCCTGACCCTCTTTGGAAGAGAAGTGGCTGTGTGTTGTGTGTGGTGGGTGGGAAATCAGAGAGGGGCAAGGAGGTGTAGCCTGGGACCAGCTAGGCTTGCAAGAACAATGAGGACCTGTGAAGCAGGGTGGCTGGCTGCCACCCGTAGGCCAGCCCCTCCCTGAAGCTAGGCCACATTGGCTTGGCTCAGTAAGGTGAGCAGGAGCACAGACGCTCCCAGAGTCTGTCGTACAGAGTGAGGCACAGCGTCTCAAAGCGAGGAGTGTCTGTTAAGCGCTGCCCAGGGTGTTCCTAGAAAGCGAGAGACTCGCAGGCACACTTACAAGGCTCAGGGGCTTCCCTGAAAGAACGTTGCCAGCAGTGGGGCCCCCGGTGCTCTGGAGGGCAGACAGGCCAGGGACCTGGCTCAAGTGCCTGCTGTGGTTGGTAGTTTTCCAAGCAGGGTGGGCAAGAGCTGGGAGTGAGTTGCGTGGTGGCAGTGGGGGCTTGGGGCTGCCTGTGTGTGGTGTCCTGCTGCACGGGGTGGAGGGAGCTTCCCCACTGCCTCTCTGATGTCCTCTGTCTCTGCCACGCCCCAGGGCCCGATGTCAACCGTGCTCTGGTGCTGGAGCAGAAGCAGGCAGAGGTGGCGGCTATGGCCAAGGAGGCCATAGTCAAGGAAAACTCCTACTCAACGCATCCTTCCCTGACCCACACGACCAGCAACGTCCACGTCAACGAGAGCTTTGAACATGATGTCAAGGATGCCAGTGACGTGGACAGTTCTCTGCCCAACAGTCAGCAGGTGCTCTGATGGAGCCCCTGTCTGGTGGAGCCCCTGTTTATGGCTCAAGGGCCCTGAACCAAGGGGCTGTGGGTTTCCCTGTGGTGGTCCCTTGACCTCTCCCCCTCCTCGGGGCCTGGGGGTGCTGTGCCCTTGAGAGTGCCCACGGCTCTGCTTGCCCACAATAGTCTGCTCTGCGCTGCTCAGCCTCTGACGGGGGGCCCTGCAGGCAGCCCCGGATGGCCCCTCTTCTCCCATTGGCCAGAGGCTCTGGAGCTCCGAAAACAGACGTGTGCCTAGGCATTTGTTCCAGACCCACCCTTTTCTAGCTGCCTACTCTTTATCCAACTGTTCCCTCCTTCAATGCTTCTGATCATAAGAGCAAAACACTCTCAATTAGGTGCTAATATGTCCTTTACACTTGTCAGTATCCCTGAGACCAAAGACAGCGTGCCTCACCCCCTAGTGTCTGTAGTAGGCCAGGGAGCCACAGGGTTGGGCTAGGGTGCGGCTGCAGGGGGCAGCAGGCTGTGGCCTTCAGTGAATAGTAGACACGCAGGTCTGGAATCCATGGTTTTTTTGTGGGAGTTCTCACACACACTCTAGTCACCAAACTGGCCCTACCTGGAAATGTCATTCCGGTTGGTCTCAGCTCCTGTGATTATTGTTGCCCTCATGGGCAGGCCTCTGCAAGCCTGTAGTCCTCAGGAACAAGGAGGGGTGGTCCTGCCACTTTCCATCTCACTGCCTAGAGCACAGAACCTGGGCACAGGCCTCCGTGAAGGAGAACTCCCTAGAAGCACAGGCCACAGAAGAGCGTGTCTTAGTACACATCTGGTGGTTAATAATGTTTGTTGAGCAGAAATGGTGTTTTATGTCACAGTCCTATTTTGGCTGCCTCTGGGTTTAAAATAATGTATGTAAATTATACAAATAATAATGTGTGGAAAAGTGATTTGTTGAGATGTTAGTTTGTGTTTTTTTTCCTCCGTTTTCCCCTCCCCTTTTCAAGCAACTAGTCAGGCCATTGTGTGCCCTTGCCATGGAGGTGCCTTTGAAGAGGGGAGGGGGGAGTGTAATTTCTCCCAAAGCAGGAAGGGTATGGATTGTGGCGAGCCTGGCCAGCAGTAGGACTCACAGCTTCTGTCCTGGGAACAGCCTGTGAAGTTGGCAGTACCTGGAAGAAGCCAGTGGTGCGTTCAGGGAGGGAGGAACCTCATGTATGCAAACTGTAGCTTCAGGGAGATCCTGTGCTGGGACAGTGGATGCAAGTCTCCAGGACCTGTTCCAGACTCCCCATTGAGAGCTCTCTGCTCCCACTCTGGGCTCCAGCTCGTGCACATTTCCCTACTGAGTGGGGCTTGGCTGAGGAGCTGCTATGGTTTCCTACACGTCAGAGGGCCTGTCAGCATGTGAAGGGAGGAGAAGCAAGAGTGAGGGAAGGAAGCCAACATCTCTAGAACATCTGCTCTATATTACCTGCTTTGTCTTCTCTACTCCTCTCAAGAGCCCTGTGTGCCAGGCATCATTAGCCAACCTTTGGGGAGGGCCACTGCCCAGCCAGGATGGACAGGAGGTATGGCAAATGGGAGGGTTACTGAGGACTAGAGGCTGATGAGAAATCGCATAGATCACCTTGTTAAAAACTCCACAGGTGTAGGAATAGACAAAATGATCTGAGTGGCAAAACAGCTTCTGATAAAAGTCACTTTTCAAATCAGGAGAAAAGATAGACAATTCAACAAATGGTGTGGGGACAACTGGCTAACCATTTGGATCAAAACTAAGGTATATCTCTCTATCACACCATACATAAAAGTAAAATTACAGATGGATTAAAGAGCTAAACCTAAAAATAAAACTATACAAGTGTCAGAGGAGAACATAGAAGAGTATGTTATAATCTTGTGGTGGGAAAAGTTTCCTAAGCACAAGATCCAGAAGCCATAGTGGCAAAGACTACAGATCTGACTACACAAAAATGTAAAAATTTGTAAGAAATAAAACAAAAACAAAATTATTAAAGAAAATTGAAAAACACATGATGGATTGTGAAAAATATTTGCAACATGTTTAACAGCAAAGGATTAAAATCAAGAATACACAAAGATGAATTGTAAACTTTCACTTAAACTACAACAATTTAAAAAAAATACTTAAAAAAAAAAAAAAGAAAACACAAAGAGGGGAAATGGTGGGCTAGGTTATTGGCCTAATCCTCCCTGTGAAAACAACAAAAATTCTGACTAAAAACAAGTCCTAGCAATCAGCTTAATCACCTGTTGAGCTGAAAAAAATATTCTTAATGGTGAAATACTAAAAACTTTCCTTCTAAGACTGGGACTGAGACAGGGATTTCCATTTTTATTCAACATTGTACTGGCGATTCTAGCCTTTGTAATAAGGCAAGAAAAATAAATTCAGGTTATAAGAATTGGAAATAAATAAATGAAAGTGTCATCAGTCACAGGTGACATGATTGTGTATGTAGAAGATCCAAGGGAATATACAGATAAACTATTAGAATTAATCTAACAAAAGATAGGTAAGAAAACTACAAAACAGTATTGAGAAAAATTAATGATCTAAATAATGAAGAGATATACCATGTTCATGAATTGAAGTCTCTATACTACAAAAAGACAAGGAGCCCTGGTGGTGCAGTGTTTAAGTGAAAGGTTGGCAGTTCTACCCTGTCCTATAGGGTTGCTATGAGTCAAAATTGACTGGACAACGGGTTTGGGTTTTCTTTTTAATACTACAAAAATGTCAATTCTCTCCAAAATTCATCTCTAGGTTCGCTGTAATTTCAGCAGATTGTGTGTGTGTGTGTGTGTGTGTGTGTGTGTGTGTAAGCTGACAAGCTAACTAAAAAATTTATATGGAACAACAATAGACCAAAATTAACCAGAATAATCTTGAAGAAAAACGAAACCAGAGGACTTATACTACCAGAAATCAGAACATTGTAAAGCTACAGAAATAAAGATGGTGTGGTTCTGGCATAAAGAAGAACAAATAAATAAATGAAAAGAATAGGAAGTCCAGAAACAAATCACACTTATAAAGGCACATGATTTATGACAGAAGTGCATGCAGAGCATTGGAAGAAGGATGGTCCTTTTAACATGTGATACCGAACAAGTTGGGTATCCATATAGATTTGCATTAGGCAAATCTGCTAAAAATCCTCTTTGAAGTGTTAAAAAGCAAAGATGTCACCTTGAGGACTAAGATGCATCTGACCCAAGCCATGGTATTTTCAATCACCTCATGTGCATGCCAAAGCTGGACAATGAATAAGGAAAACCGAAGAAGAATTGATGCGTTCGAATTATGGTGTTGGTGAAGGATACTGAATATACCATGGACTGCCAGAAGAACAAACAAATCTGTCTTGGGAGAAGTTCAGCCAGAATATTCCTTAAAAGGGAGTATGGCAAGACTTTGGACATCTTATCAGGAGGGAGCAGTCCCTGGAGAAAGTCATCATGCTTGGTAAAGAAGAAGGTCAGCGAAAAAGAGGAAGACCCTCAACGAGATGGATTGACACACCAGCTGCAATAATGGGCTCAAACACAGCAACAATTGTGAGGATGGTGCAGGACCAAGCAACGTTTTGTTCTGTTGTATATAGGGTGGCTGTGAGTTGGAACAGACTCAATGGCACCTAACAACATAAACATTAAAAAAAATATTACCCTACTTTACAACTTACACAAGTATCAATTCTTGATGGTAGATCTAAATGTGAAAGATAAAACGATAAAGTTCTAGAAGACAACATAGGAGAATGTCTTTGAAATGACTTTGAAATGGGCGAAATTTTTCTTAATCAAACAAAAGCATTAACTATAAAGAAAAAGATTGATAAATTAGACTGCATTAAAATTAAGATCTTCTGTTCATCAAAAGACATCTTAAGAGAGTAAAAATTCAAGTCACAGAGTAGGAGAGGATTTTTTTAAATATAAACTGATTGAAGTTTATTTAATATACGATTTGCAAATTGGGGTAACATTGTAGAGTAGAGAGTCAAAAATGCTCCTCAGAAGAAAGAACTTCTGTTTATATAATAACAATTTGCCCTAAAACAGCTTCTAGTCAGAACTTGGAGTTTCTGTTTCTTTCTTTTTTTATATAATTTATCTTATTTTTGTTGTTGTTGTTGAGAACATATACCAATTCAGCAATTCAGCAGACCATACACCAATTCAAAAATTCCTACTTGTACAATTCAGTGACACTGATTACATTCTTTGAGTTGTGCCACCATTCGGGAGAGGGTATTTGCAATACACATATCTGAATAAAGACTTGCATTCAGAATACATAAAAAAATACCTACAATGCAATAAGAAAAAAATAGACAACCCAAAAGAAAAGTGGGCAGGAGACTTGAACAGGCACCTTACAAAGAGGAAAACCAAATGGCCAGTACAAGGTGCTCACCTCACTAGTCATCAGAGAAATGCTGAGTGAAAGCACAATGAGTGCTCCTTCTCTTCCTTTCACTTCCTAAAAATTTTTTCTAAAAGCCACTAGGTGAGTGTCTTAGTTATCGAGTGCTGCTATAACAGAACTATCATAAGTGGATGGCTGTAACAAAGAGAAATTTATTCTCTCACAGCTTAGGAGGCTACAAATCCAAATAAAGGGTGCCAGCTCCAGGGGAAGGCGTTCTTTCTCCATCAGCTCTGGGGGAAGGTCCTTGTCATCAGTCTTCCCCTGGTCAAGGAGCTTTTCAGTGCGGGCACCCCGGTTCCAAAAGACGCTTGGTGGTATGAAGTCCCCATGTCTTTCTGCTCTCTTCTCTCTTTTATATTTCACAAGAGATTGGTTTAAGACACAACCTAATCTTGTAGATTGAGTCCTGCCTTACTAATGTAACTATCACTAATCCCACGTCATTAGCATCATAGAGGTAGAATTTACAACACACAGGAAAATCACATCAGATGACAAAATGGTAGACAATCACACAATACTGTGAATCATGACCCAGCCAAGCTGACAGATATTTTTGGGGG